TCAGGTAATAGCTTGTGAAAGATCCCAATGTGGGGCTGCACAGGAAGACGGACGATGAAAACAGGGTTGCATTTACCTGTAGCTGTTGTTCATCAACGTCTTCTGTGCAGACACACATTCCCTCCCTCCTGCCCCGCTATGAGCTCTCTGGAATTTATACCTCTAACTGGTTTTGAGCTTGTGGTGGCTAGTAGGAACTGAGGGAATGGGGGCAGTCTGCCTAAGGTCACATGACCTGATTGACAGACTCAGGTGAGAGAGGGCAGACCACCCAGTTTTAGAATTTTTTTTAGCTAAAGAAATCAGTCTCTGAGGCCGGCCTGTGCATGTGCAGTCCCCAATGTGTGTCTGCACAGAAGGCGTTGATGAACAACAGTTACAGGTAAGTGCAACCCTGGTATTTCTACAATTATACATGGAAAGGGAGCTTATTCTCCCTCTCTCATAATAATAGAATTCTGTGACACCCAATGAAATTGTTGGCAAATAGAGTCAGGTCAGACAAGGGAAATACTTCACTCAATGAGTAATTAAATTGCAGAATTCACTGCCAGTGGAGGTAGTGATGACCACAAGCATAGAAGGGTTCAAGGGGGGTTAGACAGATTCATGGAGGAGAGGTCTATCAATGACTGCAAGTCATCATGACTGAAGGGAGTCTCCATCTACAGAAGCAACTAATCTCTGGCTACCAGTGCTAGGAGGCAGCAGTAAGGAAGGGCCTCAGCCTCTATGTCCAGCTTGTTTGGCACTCCAGGGCAACTGGTTGGCTGATCTAGATGAACCACTGGTCCGATCCAGCTGGCTCTACTTATGTTCTTATTTTTATGCTGCATTCCATTCCAGTAGCCTTAAAACAGCTTGGGTTTCTTCAGGAAGAAGAGCTGAGTCCAAGCGGGCTGGGGGGGGAGGCAACAAGGTCAGATAATGGATCTGGAACAAATAACAGGATGGAACAGGACCAAGGTTGCTTATAAAGCTGAAGTTTTGTTGCTACTACCAATATGTGTTGCACTGTGTATAAAACAGCAGAACGTGTTTAAATAATCAGTGATAGTTAATAACAGCCTCACTATACCCCTGGGGAACAACAAAGGAAGATGTTTAATCTATCTACTGTTTAGTTATATGTGTGAATTTCTCTGACAAACTGCAGTCACTCTGGAAAAGGCTTTCAACTGAACACTAGGAATTTTTCAGCAGATGGGCTTGTGACTTTTATCAGCTAGTTTCAGAAAGACAACAAGGAGCGAGGAAATACTTTGTGATTCAAGATAATAATCAAAAGGTTTAAAAGCCCTGGTCTAAAGCTGCTGTTTTTTCCTTCCCTCAGAAATGTGTGGTAAAATTCTAGGTAGGTGCTGCTTCATCTAGTTCTCAGTGTGGATTACGGAGCTCTAAAACATGCCCAAGTAAAAGCATCAGGCCTCACAGAAGCTTCTCATTTTCTACCATTTGGTCAGCACCTACTCATAGTTTGTCCAGAAGAACTGACCAACATGCATCCACACATCCTGGTTTCTTCCGCTGCTGGGTCTTTTCTCTTCCTCATTTCCGGTTTTGGCTGGTTGATGCTTAATTGTTATATGGCAAAGATCACCAACATGCCCCTGAGGCTACACAGCACTGTTTTGAGTGATGGGTTGTGTTTATGTGTGGACATGCAAAAAAAACTAAATAAAAAGTCCCTCATCAAAGACTTTTGAGTATACTTGGCCATCATGGCATCGGTTACTGCTTAAATAACAGGAAGCAGAAAGTAGGAATAAAGGGGCAGTTCTTGCAATGGAAGGAAGTGGGCAACAAGGCCTCTGAAGGATCTGCATTATTTAACGTGTTTGTAAATTATCTCAGTGAAAGATTAGCAGAACAATTTGTAAATAACTCCAAATAATTCAGATAGTGAAGCCAGATAAATGAGGTTTGGTGTAAGTAAAAGTGATATAACCCTAACTTCACTGATGGAGTCAGTATACTGAATACATATTAACACGTGAATACTGAATTAGACCATTGGTCCTTCAAGGCCACAGGAATAAACAGCGTTAAAGGGAGATTAGATAGCTTCATAGAGGTTAAGTCTATCAATGGCTGCTAGCCATGGTGACTGAGGGGAACCTTCACATTGAGGGGCACTAATCCTCTGAATCCCAGAGCCAGGAGGCAACATCAGGGGAAGGCCTCAGTTGTTGTTGGCTCTCCAGAGGAACTGGCTGGCCACTATGTGAGGCAGGATGCTCATGCTGGACTACTGGTCCAATCCAGCAGGGCTCTTCTTATGTTCTTAAGGTCAATATGGTCTACTCTGGCTGGCGATAGCTCTCCAAGATCTTCCACATCACGTACAACTAGGGTTGCCAGGCCCCCTTGAACACTGGCAGAGGGGTTGGGAGGTAGGGTTGCCAGCTTCAGGTGGGGAAACTCCTGGAGATTTGGAGGTGGAACCTGGGGAGGGCAGGGACCTCAGTGGAGTACGATGCCACAGAATCTACTCTCCAAAGCATCCTTTTTCTCCATAAGGAAATTATCTCTGTAGTCAGAAGATGAGCTGTAATTCCAGGGGTTCCCCAGGTCCCACCTGGAGGCAGGCATTCCTACCTACAACTGATCCTTTGAAGACTGAACCTGGGGTCTTCTGCATGCAAAGCAGATGCTCTTCCACTAAGTTACAGCTACAATGATTTGGCGTCATTCACAAATTTAGTCTGCTGGGAATTATTAACTGGGAGAGGGATCCTGGAATCATAATGGATGAAAATATCAACATAATAGGCAACTATGATAAAAAAACAGTGAATTCTGTGTTGGGGGTTATTAGGAATGTAATTGTAAATGAAATGGCCTTGTAATGCATTCATGTAAATCTATGTTGTAGTCATATTTGGAATGTGATGTATAATTAGTTGTGGCTGCCTGATCTAAAAAAAAATTAATCATAGAACTGAAAGAGATGCAGAAAAGGGAAAGTTAAGAACCTTCCATACAAACACCTGGGACTTTTTAGTTTTGAAAAAGTCGACTAGTATGATAGAAGGGTATAAAACAATGTTTGGTGTGAGGAAAGCAGATTAAAAAGTCTCCCCCTCCCATCATACTATTTTTTATTTATTTACTTATTTTTATTGTTTGTATTTATACCCCACCTTGCCTGACAAGCAGGATCAAGGCGGCTACCACTCACTATTGATACAGTTAATTAAACAACAGAACAATTATATATTTTTTAAAAAATCCTTCATGCAATGCATAATCAGTGTATGGAATGATGTAATTGTAAATAAAATGGCCTTGTAATGCATTCATGTAAATCTATGTTGTAGCCATATTTGGAATGTGATGTATAATTAGTTGTGGCTGCCTGATCTTAAAAAAAAAAATCATAGAACTGAAAGAGATGCAGAAAAGGGAAAGTTAAGAACCTTCCATACAAACGCCTGGGACTTTTTAGTTTTGAAAAAGTCGACTGGTATGATAGAAGGGTATAAAACAATGTTTGGTGTGAGGAAAGCAGATTAAAAAGTCTCCCCCTCCCATCATACTATTTTTTATTTACTTACTTATTTTTATTGTTTGTATTTATACCCCACCTTGCCTAACAAGCAGGATCAAGGCGGCTACCACTCACTATTGATACAGTTGATTAAACAACAGAACAATTATATTTTTTTTAAAAATCCTTCATGCAGTGCATAATCACTGCCACAAGATGGTTTGAATGGCTTTAAAAGGAGATTAGGCAAATTCACAGGGGGGTAGGTCTATCGGTGATTGTCAGCCAGATAGAAATGCCAGGCTCAGAGGCATTATGCCACTGAATACCAGTTGGCAGAATGGTGACAGCAAGGAAGGGCTATTTCCTTCAAGTGCACATTTTCTGAAATCACAGGGCTGCCAACTCTGGGTTGGAAAATTCCTGGAGATTTTAGGGATGGAGCATGAGGAAGGTGGGATTTGAGAAGAGGACGGAACTTAGTGGGAGAAAATGCCCTAGAGTCTTTAGAAGAGAATGTTATAAAATTACATCTCTGGACTAGCAATCTGTTCCCTTGGAGGAAATGGCAGCTTTGGAAGGCAGATTCTATGGAATCATGTCTTCACTGAGCTCCCTCCCATCCCTAAACTGTCATTACCACACACCACCTCAAGTCTCCAGGAGTTTCCCAACCCTATGAGTACCTTATGTATGTTCCCCATCTTATAATGGGGCTGGCCAGGAGAGATTTTTTAACGACTCTTTCCACCTTTGTCACATTCCACAGCATGAGTGAGACCAGATAATTGGTTCTGTAAGACTTGACCTTCATCCCACCACCCCATAATCCAAAACTCAGCTGTGGGAGTAATTTTCAGTGTCTAAGATCCGCTATGGACCATAAAAGAAGGCAGGAAAAAAATGGATGTATTACGCATAGGGCCTTTCTCTCACTACCGACCCACCACAACCCACTCCCACAAAGGTGAGGTGGAACAGCTCCAGCCAGTGCATGCTGATTCAAAAATCCCACCCTGACAGTGGGCGGGAGGGATCCGAGGCGAGGACTAATTTGCTCTGCGTCGCAGGGCTTCAAATTGTAAATTTCTTTGGCATTGATAAGTTTTGCAACTTGTTTTTAGGCACATCATAGGTTGTATTTTTTTTAAAAAAAAAATTAAAGCTGGAGTGGACACAGGAAAGCTAGAAGTGAACCAGCCTCTTCTGAGAAGATCTGGGTCTGCTGTCGATTTCACTCCGCTCCACTCCTTCCTAAAAACGCTACGACTGCAACTGTGGGGGCAGGGGAGGGAAACCCTTGAAAGGACTCTGCTAAAGGTCGGAGAATCCTGCAAGCGGCTAGACACATTGAGGGGGCGGGGGGAGGGAGGCATGGCCACCCTCCGGAGTCGCGGTGCGGCAGCCGAAACGCCAGAGGGCGCAACAGGCAAGCGCCGCTCGGCTCTGGCCGCGACGTAGGCAGCCCCCGTGACCCACCTGTGACTGCGTGGGCCCAGCTAGCCCGAAGTGGGGAGCCGGAGCGGGTGGCGGCGGCCGCGCCGCCGCAGCAGCAACAACAACAACAGCTTCACCATGTGGCTGGCCCCCGAGGAGGTGCTGCTGGCGAACGCGCTGTGGGTCACTGAGCGGGCCAACCCGTTCTTCCTCCTGCAGCGGCGGAGGGGCCATGGCAAGGGGGGCGGCCTGACGGGTGAGTGAGCGACCGAGCCAGCCAGTCGCCTGCGGGGCAGGGAGTGGCAGGCAGCCTCCAGGTCGCCCCCCCCCCCGGCCCTCCCGTATATGGGGAGCGGCGTCCGATGGCTCTCACGGGGAAGGGCAAGGCCTGGCCCTGGGCATTGCCCTTAGGAATTCCCAAACTGTCAGTAATTGCGGGGGGTTTCTGTCTGCCTCGTTATAAATCAATGGGAGGTGTTTTTTTAAAGGGACAGAACCTATTAATTCAGAGCTTGCGTAGTTAAGGGGCGTCCCTTCCAGTGGTCTCACGTAATGCAGTAGCTAGTAACATCGCCAGTTTCCGTGCTCCCCGCGGAATAGAGGATGTTGCTGCTGGGTGGGGAAAGTGTTAATTATTACCAAGGATATAGAAAGGCTTGGGAGCAAGGCCCGTTGACTTCACTGGGGCTTGCTTCCCACCCAGTAAACATGCATAGGCTTGGGCTGCGTTGAGCTGCCGGCATTTAGTGTCTTGCTGAGGCTTCAAGTGTGTAGGAAGCGATAGGTGTGATGTCTGCTCTTTCCAAGGCTCAAGCGTATTTGGATGCATGTTTGGGCCCTCCCACAAGGATGATGCCAGCAAGCTTTTGACTGGTGAAGGGCCAACATTACATCTAGACTTTGAGTAACACAGGAATGTTTATGTGTGCATTTGGACATACGTTTTGTATCTTCCTAAATTCAGAGCATAGGTTCTGTGGATGTACATGTGTACATTTGGAATACAGTGTTTCATGTGAAGGGGAAATGTTAATGTCATTACACTCAACTTTTTGTCATCTTGGCTAATGATCATGTATATACCTTGGCAAGTAATAAGGAATGTGTGGTGGTTATTAAATATCTGACTTCCAAACTTAAGGGTTGTGTGCTATTTTAATGGTTTTATATGTAACGATGGGAGCTGAATATTTTTTTCTTTTTGAGTGACTAATGTGAATCTGCAGAATCACATGGCTTGAGCAGCATTCCTTAACTTGGTGTTAAAGAAGACTATTGTCTTCTTTAGTGCAGTAAATTTGCAGCAGTTGTAAACAATGAAATCTAATTCTGGCTGTATTAACTGTAATGTCATAGGTCATTAGCAGATCGTATTTTACTTATAAGCATCTCTGTATATGGATGTGATAGTTGGACAGTAAAGAAAGCTAACAGGAATTGATTCATTTGAAATGTGGTGTTGGAGGAGAGTTTTATGAGTACTGTGGACCTCCAGAAAGACAAATAAGTAGATGCTAGATCAAATCAAACCTGAATTGTCCCTAGAAGGTAAAATGACTAAACTGAGGCTATTGTACTCTGGTCACATCATGAGAAGACAAGAGTCACTGGAAAAGACCATAATGCTAGGAAACGCTGAAGGCAGCAGGAAAAGAGGAAGACCCAACATGAGATGGATTGACTCAGCAAAAGAAACCTTCAGCTTGCATGGCTGTGAATGACAGGAGATTTTGGAGGTCATTATTTTATAGGGTTGCCATAAGTCGGAAGTGATTTGACAACACATAATGCACACACAAGTACTGATTTGCAACTGATACAAACTGCATTTATGTTGAACCAGTATATTCACACTCATGTTGTGTCAGCACCTGTAGGTTTATGAAGATTTGATGCAGATCACATCTCATTGCTCTGCACCTGTTCAGGATGTTTTTGTGCTATAGATAGGCTAGGACAGGGTTTCAAGACAGTAGATGGTGTCTCCATTGCCCAAGGAATGAAGTAATCTAAATTCCTATTTAAAAGGTACACTTCCTTTTGTGTCTTACTTTAGAGAAAGTGTAACTGTAGAAGACCATGAAGAAACGGGCCTTGAACTTGCCCATATCTGTCACTTTTGCATTGTTGAGAGTGCTTGGATCTTGACATTTTTTCCATTTGAACTTGCCCATATCTGTCACTTTTGCAGTGCTTGGATCTTGAATTTTTTTCCATATAGATAGATAGAGGTCAGCAAGCTTACATTTATGAAACATGGATGATATTGCCAGCCATGCATTTACATCTGTTTATTTTGTAAATTTCTAAGAGCATAGACATCAGTAGGTTTCTAAGATTTTCCCTGCTTGGCCCAAATTAGAGCATAGAGCTCTGGTACTTTTTGTGCAAGAAAGAAGAGTCTTAGCAGGTGCACAGTGTCATGTCATAGTACTTCATCATGGTAAGTAGGTTGAGAAACCATGCCTCCCAGATTCCTTCATCTACCGATTTGTTATACATGCAGGATTCTTGATATGGAAAGTTAGCTTCTTAGTTTATCCAAGCTGTGACCCAAATAAAACCAAATAAACAACGCAGTTGTCAGAAGTTGTTCCTTTGTGTGCAAACAGTATTTTAAGTTTCCTAACACTTCCTTTTTTCAGCCTACTGAGAGAAGTTTTTAAGGGATATATGTATGTTCATTATTTTTGGTAATGGGATCCAAATGTCTTCTGTAAAGGAAGTGCAGTAATAGGGGAAGCACATGTTCCCAGCACTCAGTGTTCAGTTCAGTTGGAACATATCATTTCTTTCAGTTCATTGTATAAGCTGGTGTGGTGTTGGAAGTTGCTTGTGAGGGTTGCTTCTGGGCCTAGATACTGTTGTATTATAAAATCTCTAAGCCTACCTACCTTTATTCATTTAGGTTCATTCATACTAATTGCTGTTCATTTAGGTTCATTCATACTAACTGCTGTTGTTTGTATAATCTGGTATCAAGCCTCAAACTCCTTATTGTAAAAGGTCTGATTATGGAGTGGAGACCTGCTGGGGTGGAGCTTTATCTCCTCCCCTAATTTTGTTTCAGCTGCCACTTTGAATCTGCAGTCTGGTTACATTTTTGCAGCTGTGAGAAGAAACAATAGATACTTTCTGTATTTAATTTAAGGTCTTTGTTTTTAAGGTTCTCTTCCTGTCCCTTTATTCCTCATAAACCCGGCTCAACCATGTTGATGCATTTGTTCTCTAGAAAAGTAGGTCACTTTATAGCAACTCTCCCAGAATTATTTGTTGTCCCTTTCACAAGCAGCTTTTTATTATTTGGGTGTCTGGGGTATTTTTTAATTGCCAGTGATTGTGATGCATAAAAGGCCATCTTTTAAAAAAAGAAACCACTTCGGTTTCAGAAGACCCATGCAAAATGTACCTATCATCTTTTGTAAGAAAAGCAGTCTAGGAGATGTGAACTGATTTACAAGTGAGGATAAAATATCAGTTCCAGTCCTAGATAAAAATTGTGGGAAGACTGTAGGTTTGCTACCATCAGTGGAGGCATTTCTCTTTGCCTTGATATTTAAGTTAACAATGGCCCCTGCCACACGGCAGGGGATAAGTCACCCAAAGCACGGCTTTTAAAAGCCGCGCCAAAGTTGAGACGCCGCAGCGGGATCCCACGGATCCCCTGAGCCGCGGCGCCTTTTCTCCCCGGCACGATCAGATGCCGGGGAGAAAACACAGTCAGACGGGGAGCCTGCCAAGCTGTGCATGTCGGAGCATGCGCAGTTCGGCTAGGAGCCGGGGATGCGCCGGCGCAAAGACGCGCCGGCGATCCGACGGCCCGGCTTGCGGCGCCCCTTCACTTTGAACCACCGAGGTAGGTGGTTCAGTGTTGCGGCAGTGTATTGCGTGGAAGGGCCGGTTCGGGGACGGAAGCACTACGCTTCCCAGATGTTGTGGTGGGATCGCGCACGTTTGCTGCGTCCCCGAACTGTCCTTCTACCGGCCCAAATTCTTACGTGTGACCGGGGCCCAAGAATAGGGCCTCTCAGTCTTTGGAATCTGTAAGTCAAGCAGAGCAACTGATAATCTTCCTTATGGTCTGATAGGGATTTCTCAATAACTTATCGGGTGGCCGACTCTGCACCTCATGTATGTGTTCATAAAATGAGAAGATTGGCACTACTAAATGAGAATACTGCCTTTGCTGGCAGAGTAATGACCTGATTTTGCTGTTCTCTTTTATTAAATTGGCCTTGCAGAAGTGGTGAAACCTCCATGTATTCTTCTGTGCTACCCCCTAGCCAGTCATTACTGTGTACTCTTTGATGCTGTCCTTACATTCTAGCATTTGAATATTTTGTCTATATATGAATAGGATGACAGAGTTTCCAAATGTTGCTCAGATATTTAATCCATGGATGATATAAACTTTGTCCCCAGTTAGGGTTTTGTTTTTTGTATTTTTGCATTTGTGTGTGCCCATGCCTGGACGTCATGGCAACCTCTGGGGACTCCTAATGGGGCACAGAGGACATTCAGAGAGGTGGCTTGCTAGCCTGCCTCTGGCCTCCCGGCCCTGGTATTCTCTGGAGGTCCCCCATCCAAATACTTTCCAGGGTCGGCCCTGCTTAGCTTCCGAGATCTGTCAAGATCAGGCTTGCCTAGGTTATCCTGGTCAGGGCCCCAGTTAGTTTTTCAAACAGGTTGCCTTTGGGCATTGGTTTTCCCTAAGACTAAACAGAATAATTCTCCGTTCCGTTAGTCAAAAGCAAACCAATACCAATATTTCCTAAGAGAAAGAAACACATGTATATCTTTTTATTGTATTGAATAAAAATTGATTATTTTTAAAAAGAAGCAGAATACATATGAAAATTAGGTATAATCTGTTTTTTGTCTTAGCTGTGGAATTGTTAACAGCAGTTCTGTACAGCTAGTTTTATCGTGTGCATCTGATTGTGGTGGAGTTGCTTCTGTTTTTCAGATCAAGATGTGGTCTTTCAGAAGTACATATAGGATGTTCCATCTCTCCTCCCCCTCGACCAATCAAATTCGACATGTTTTTCTCTGCATCTTTGTTCTTTTAGGCTTGCTTGTGGGAACCCTTGATGTGGTTTTGGACTCAAGCGCTAGAGTTGCGCCTTACAGGATCCTGCACCAGACACTGGACTCTCAGATCTGTTGGGCAGTGGCATGCGGTAAGTAGTACTGGACCTGAAAACATATTAAAGTGTTTTTTTTTAAGTGGCAAATGCCACTGATGTATGTTTGCTGTTGTCCCCAAGGCCCACTTAAGAAACGTATACTGATTTTTCAAACTGCTTTTTGAACCAGTGAGTTCTTTAGGAGCATTTTGGACTTGTTTAGGAGCACTTTCTGAAAGGCTAACAATGTGAAAAAATCTGAGTATGTGTATAGATCATGTATTTGTGTATGGGTATATTTATAAATTGCTGTCCCATCTTTTAGTAACATTTTCAGAGTGGCCATTAAAACTTTAAAATTTATAATAAAACTAGGAGGAAGGCCCGTTGCAGCCTGAAATGCAATGGGATTCTAGTAGAGGGCCTGGGTGAGCGTGGCGTTGTGGAGGAGGCGTGTTCCCACCCTCCCGGAGCCCCGGGCGAGCGTGATGCGGCCCGCAGCCCCTGACCCACCTGGAGGCACGGAGGAGCGCCGGGCGCCGAGCGAGCAAGCCCTTTCAGCTGGCGGAGCGGGCGCTGCCTCCGCCGACTCGCAGCTTACTGAGGCAGAAAGTCTGGGTGGCGGTTCTGTCAGAGGGTAGGCGGGACGTTGAGAACACATGGGCACGCAGTCACCGATGGATGGCGAGACCTTGTGATCGACAGGTCTCCTGGCCAAAGCCTCTGGCAGCGTGTTCCAGGACTTCACACAAAATTAGCTTTATATATAAGAGAGATAAAAAGACAATAGAAAACCGTCAGAGTAACCAGCAGAATGAAAGCAAGAATGAACCAGAAGGGCATAATAAACCAAAATCCAGCCTCAAGAAAATAAAGTCAGTCAATAGCAGAATATCTCCATCAACACCAATTTAGATCGAAAGTTTGTAGAAAGGTTCATTTGTCTTCTGAAGTTAAAATAAGATTAGGTCAAATTACACTTAGGTGAGAGGAGTTCTAAAGTCTCAGTCCTGCGGTAGTTCATATTGCATGTTCCACCATACCTATGATGGCAGTGGGACACAGAGCAGTGCTTGTTTAGCAGACCTTATGGTACAAGATGGGTCAAGGTAGAGAAGGTTGTCCTTGAGGGGAAGGTCAAAACTAGAACACTTAATTGATCCAGAAACAGATGGAAGCAGTGTTCCCTCTAAGCTGAGTTAGTGTGAGCTAGCTCACAGTTTTTTAGCCTCTGGCTCACACATTTTTGTCTTAGCTCAGGAAGGAGGACTCCAGAGCAAACTAATTTATGCAGCAGGCAAATTACTCACGACTTTAATGCCAGTGCCAGTAGCTCATAAAGTAGAATTTTTGCTCACAAGACTCCACAGCTTAGAGGGAGCATTGGATGGAAGCCAGTTAAGTTGGGTCAAACTTAGAGTGGTATGATCAAAGTGTCCTGTTCCTGTCAGAACTTAGCCAACTAGGCTGCAAGAAACAACACAGGAGAGAGCTGCTGGGAAGCTGAATGGGGTTTTTTTTGTTTGTTTGTTTTGCCTTTCCCAAACTGCTAAACTACTGGGGAGCATTAACTGAGGTTGCTTTGAGAGAGGACAGAGTTTGCGGGTGAGTGGGTGGTTGTAGCCTGCTGGAGAGTGGTGTTTTTGTCTGGGTCTGTTAGAGTCTCTTGTCTGGTCTGTTACTCACTGAACAAGGTCTGTTTGCCTGGGGCTGATTGCAAGCCCCTCCTTTTGCTGTTGCTGCTGAGAAGCAGGAGCTGTGGGCCTTTGAACTATAGGGCTCCTCCGAGGGGAAGGTCAAAACTAGAATACTTAATTGATCCAGAAACAGATGGAAGCAGTGTTCCCTCTAAGCTGAGTTAGTGTGAGCTAGCTCACAGTTTTTTAGCCTCTGGCTCACACATTTTTGTCTTAGCTCAGGAAGGAGGACTCCAGAGCAAACTAATTTATGCAGCAGGCAAATTACTCACGACTTTAATGCCAGTAGGCCCTGGGTTTTGACAACAAACAAGGTAAACAGAATAAGAAGCAAAAGGTGGGTGTGGCTGGATGTCCACACTTCTGGCAACACGGGGCTTCGGCCTAATATGCTAATGAGTTCCTGCTGGGCTTTTTCTACAAAAAAGCCCTGGGCAGAAGTATGAGCTGAAGAGTGAGAGTCAAAGGGCTCTTGGCCTGTGGTTCTTAGGCTGGGGATCAGGCATGGGGACCCTGCATCACTCTACATCAGGGGTGTCAAAACATAAGGCCCGGGGACTGGAACCGCCCTGTCCAGGTCTGTTATCTGGCCCTCGAGCAAGGAAGAGGAGGATGGTGGCGGCAGTGGCAAGAACAGTGAAAAGACCCATGTCAGGTTGGCTGGCTGAAGGTCCATCCCCCCTTCCTCTCTCTCTTGGTTGGGCCGGCTGTGCACGTGCAGCTGCTGCCCTCTCTCCCCCTCAGAGGTGGGAAGGGTCACCACCTTTCCATCAGTGCACGTTCATGCTGGGCCTTCCACTTTGCCTCAGCAACAGAAGCTGCCTCCTTCACCACTGTCACTGCCACCTTCTTCTCCTTCTCCTCTGCCTACTTCTCTTGCTCTTTATCCACCACAACGCCTGAAAAGTGGCCCATTGGGAGAAGAGAAGGAAGAAGAAAGGAGGAAGAAAGTCATTATGTGTGAAGGTGGTGGGAGGGGGAGCTGCTGATGGAAATGGGTGTTAGGGGAAGTATGGGAATGGGAATGCCAGAATGTATCTGGGGTGAGGGTATAAGGGACTGCAGGGAAGGGCATGGAAGGGAAGGGTTGAAGTGTGTGTAATGGGGTGTGTGGTGAGAACTGAACTTGGAAAGCCATGGGAGAGGAGGAGAAATATAGTTGTTGGAGTGAGGGAAGGTGCTGAGTATTTGTGTTTGGGGTGGGTGGCATGCAAGAGCAGGGGTGTAGTTGGAGGCTAAGATAAAACAGTAGTCTTCAGCCACCTTAAAGACTTAATGAGATTTTGTTGTATCATTTTTATTTTCTAGGCATCTGTACTTTGCTTGTCCCAAAGCAATTTACAAGTATCTTTCTCGCTGTCTTTTTGTTTTGTTTTGTTCTCATAACAACTGTGCAGCAGGGCAGTAGCTAGGTGGGGGCGGCACCCCCTCTCGAATCTGCAGCCCCCCCAGTGGAGAGGCAAGTCTGGAAGGGAGCGAGTGGCCGAGAGAGAGACAGAGTAAGGCAGGTGACCTGCCACTAGGGGGCTTCCAAGGGGAGGGAGAGTGGCTAATGCTGCCAGGAGGAGGGGGGGATGGCTGGCTGGATCAAAAGTCAGGATGGCCACAGAGGTAGGCACACCAATTCCAGCATAGGTAAGGGGAAGCAGGCAGGCGAGGCCGGAGGAGAAGGGAGAAAGCCAGGGCTCCTCCACCTACCTTCACTCGGAGCAGCATCCCTCTATTCACCACCATCTGGAGATGGGGGGAGAGGAAGTGGCTATTTGTTAGAATACTTGTTTGGTATTGTTCAAGGCCACACAAAAGCACTTCATTATGTTCCGGAGTTGGGGGGCGGGCAGGAAGCACGGGTGGGCTACACTGGGGGGGGGGGACTGAGCCCCTGAACTTGGCCATGAGAAGGAAGCTGGAACTGTAAGTGCTTGATCCACACCAGGGAGCCGGCTATACTCTGGCTCTTCTATTTTAATTTTTTTGTGATGTCAGAAGTAATGTCATGCCCCACCCAGTGGGCCCCCCAATGAAAATCATCTAGCTATGGGGCTGCTGTTCAGGGTAAGTTAGGCTTTGAGAGTGACTGGCCCAAAGTCATCCAGCAGCTTCCATGGCAGAAAGAGGCTTATGAACCTGGGTCTCCCAGTTGTTAGTCCCCGTGCTTGAACCTCAGCATCATGGTATATATGTGTGTCTTTGTGGAAGGTCAGGTCTCTAAGTGGGACTGAAGTGCAAGGAAAGGAGTGGTCAGTAGGAGCAGACTTGAGATTTGGAAGAGATGGATTGATGGGGGGAAAGGGCTGATTTAGGAGTTCTGGTCATTGACAGGTGGCTGGTGAATCTGTGGAGGGTTCATTATTTTTGTGGGGGATTAAGCAAGTGTTAAGGGTGGTGGCTGCAGTTCCTTGGAGAGGTGTGTTTTGGGGTGGACCTTGCTAAGTGGGGAAGAAACCCTGCTTTGCATACAAAAATGTTTCCAAGGTTGCAGAGAAAAAGTTGCTGATCTAGTGTAGTGGGGAAGTGTATTTTCAGAGAGGGAAGAGGATCCCTGGGATTACCTGCACTGGGGAGGGGGGGCGCAATGGACAGGGAAAGTTTCTCTAATGTGGGAGGCGTTCTCAAGGCATATTACACATAGTGAGTCAGTACAGTCAACAGAATGGGACAGTCACACTGCTGCCCAACCTACCAATGAAAGGATGCCACAAATTGCAGGTAGATGGGGGAGCAGTGTGTTGCTGTAGTGAAAGATAAGCTTTCTGAAGTTGGCATTAGCAAATTTTACCAGTTTTAGGGTCCAAATTACCCCCAGTTTAAGGCTTTTGCTTCTAAAATTCTGTCTATATTTGGGATAACATAATCTGTGAACAGATGTTCTCTGTAATAAATGTCAGTAAATCAAAAGTATGTTCTCAGTTTACAGATATACACCTAAACAGCATACTCAAAATTGCTAAAGCACAAACATTTGATGCAGTAATTCAGAGCAAGAAATATCAGTACTTTTGCTTCTAAAATTCTGTCTATATTTGAGACAACATAATCTGTGAACAACTCTTCTCTGTAATAAATATCAGTAAATCAAAAGTATGTTTGTATTTGAGTAAAAAATAATATCATTAATTGGGTTTGCCTCTGTCCTTTAGAAAGTTTATATCTCCAGTACCTGGCATTACATTTTATGGAAAGCATGATGACAGTGACATAATGTCCAATTTGGCCCTCATAACAAATGAGTTTGATACCTCTGCTGTAGATACCTTTAAACCACTAACCAGTGTAGAAAGCCAGCAGGGGAGCAGGGGCTGTTCAGTGTTTTGCAGAAAGTGCCACATGTAAGTGCCATATCTGGATAGAAATCGTGGGTGTGCGCTCGCTGCTAGTGCAGCATGTGCCCTAATCTGTATGATTTTAAACTTTGAAACAGCACTATGATGTAAAACACTGTTAGTGGCAATGGGCAGAGGGATAGCAGAGGCTAAAAATGAGTAACTTGCCCTGGACCATCCAATGAGTATGTGTCAGAGAAGGGAATTAAATCAGACATGGGGTTTGTTGCAGCATAGTGGTACAAAACATGGGTAACCTATGGGGGCTGCAGGCCAGAAAGTCTTTAAGGAAGAAGTGAATTTTGAAAGGGGACTTGTCAAATAGGGGAGGTGTTGCTTTTTGCCAACTGTAAGAACATGATGTTTTAGAAAGAGATAATATATTATGAAACTGTAGGAAAATGTTCTTAAAGGCCTAGGAATCTTTCCGTGAGACTTATAATATTATGATAAAAGTTTATTCTTTGTATTAAAATAGTTTTAGAAAGAGAAAAGATGGTAGCAGTGATAGGATTGGAAGAAAAGAACAGTGCAGGCTGAAAACAACCAACTCTGTATAGAGCAGAAAGACAGATAAGTAGAAGTTAAATTTTGCTTGGGGGGGGCAACAGTGGGAGGGCTTCTAGTGTCCTGGCCCCACTGCTGGACCTCCTGATGGCACCTGGTATTTTTGGCCACTGTGTGACAGAGTGTTGGACTGGATGGGCCACTGGCCTGATCCAACATTGGCTTCTCTTTTGTCCTTAAGATACTGGAGAATAGTAAGTGAAAGGACCAGAAGGTTGAAGATTGTTGATGAGTGTTTAGCTGGAATCACTGTCACTTGTGTGGTAAAGCTGTAGCAGGTTTGTTCTTTCCTAAGTTATAAGTTATAGCCAGGGCTTTTTTTGTAGAAAAAGCCCAGCAGGAACTTATTAGCATAATAGGCCACACCCAACAGCAGAAACTCATTAGAATATTAGGCCACACCCCTGACAGTGCAGCTCATTAGCATATTAGGGCACACCCCATGCCTTCCCTTGGCTTGTCTGGGTGTCCCGCAGCTGCAGGGCACCCGGGCAAGCCAGCCCTTGGACAGGCTGGGGAAGGCACTTCCAGGGGCCCCATGGCCCACCTCAGAGTCGCCGGGGGGGTTTGCTCTCCAGGCCTTCCCTCTGTAGTCACACACGCAGAGGTTTTGGCTGTAGTGGGCGTGGCCAACTCTGAAGCCAGCCGGAACTCCGTTTCTGTGCATTCCTGCCCAAAAATAGGCCTGGTTATAGCCTTAATAAAGTTACACAAGAGGAGAAGAGTCACTGTGAGGAGAATGGATGTGAGATTACTTAAGCATTCTATACGGACACTTGTTTTTGTATCTTAAATTGTAAAGTCACCTGTAGCTGCTACCATCTTATTGTCATTTGTTCATTTGTTGTTAGGTTCATCCCGCAAAGAAATCACAAAACACTGGGAATGGCTAGAGAATAACTTGCTCCAGACTCTCGCCATCTTTGATAACACAGAGGATATCACTACCTTTGTCAAGGGCAAGATACATGTAAGAAACACTTGCTTTTCGGTAGGCTTTTTTTGTCTTGGGGCTAAAACCTGCATCTTCATGTAAAGCTCAGCGCAGGACGATTATCTGAAGTACATCGTGGGCACCTAAAAAGTGTATCTTTTATTCATAAAAACAAAATAACCTGAATAGTTTTAACATGGCACTGTATTAATCACCATATCCATTACAACCATATATGGTTGTGTAATTAGGCCAAGCTTGAGTTTGAACAGACTTTCAGGAGCTTCTACCTATTCTGGCTTGTGATCAAATATACTGTTGCTTTGTTTTGTTTTTTATCCTGGATGTTCCTACCCTCCAGTGTTCCCTCTAAACTGTGTGTGTGAGCAGCCGCTCATTAATGCAGGAAGCCCCGCTCACAGGTTCTCGCACTGCCCGTGGCCCATTTTAAGATTGCAGCAGTTGTATTCTGCTCAGGGTGTGGACTGCTCTGCTCAGTCAGGGGAGGGGGTGAGGATTAGAGGGAACATTGCTGCCCTCCCCTGCAGTTGGCCTCCCATAATTTCCTGCATGATTTTCTCTGTGGTAAGAGAAATATCTTCCCACACAGACAATGGAAGAACATAAAATGAAGACTTTTTTTTTTTTAAGTAAGTTCACATAGGAGCAGGGTGATATCTGAATGGGAGGTGGTTCCATTGCTTGTCAATTGCAATATTCAGTGGGTGCTGGTAAAACCTATGTTGCACAGAGCAAGTACCATAACAGTGCATAGCAGTCATATTTTCCCATGTACAAAATATTGAGCATTGAGTGCTTAGAAGACTGCAGTATACCCACAACAGGATTATACCCTCAAGTGGTGGACGTGTGGACTGTGTTCAACTAGCTCAGTGATGGCGAACCTTTTAGAGACCGAGTGCCCAAACTGCGACCCAAAACCCACTTATTTATCACAAAGTGCCAACATGGCAATTTAACCTGAATATTGAGGTTTTACTTTAGAAAAAACAACTCATACATTAACTTAAGATGATCCAAACAAAGTAAGGAAAGCAATCCCAAATGCTTTCATTTACTTAAAATTATTTGGCAGAGAATTCGACACTTTAATGATGGTCTGGGCCTGGCTGGGGCGATGGCACACTTCCCCTCAGAGAGGGCTCTGAGTGCCACCTCTGGCACCCGTGCCATAGGTTCGCCACCACTGAACTAGCTAGTTTGTGCCTGATTCTGTAGAAGACCACTCGTCCTGATCTCCTTTTTTCCTACAGGGCATTATTGCTGAAGAGAATAAGAACCAGCAGCCTCAGGGGGAAGAAGACCCAGGTAAATTTAAGGAAGCAGAACTGAAGATGCGTAAGCAGTTTGGAATGCCTGAAGGAGAGAAGTTAGTCAATTACTACTCCTGCAGCTACTGGAAAGGACGTGTCCCAAGACAGGGCTGGCTGTATCTGACTGTCAATCACCTCTGTTTCTATTCCTTCCTCTTGGGCAAAGAAGGTAAGTGGTAAGCCTGCTGCGTGTCTCTGGCCCCCACACCTCATTTGTTTAACTGATCTGGTCTGATTGCCTGTTTTAAACTGGGGTCAGATCTGGGATTAAGCCGTTTACAAGGTCTGACTATGAGTGACATTCATACTGAGGTTTAGGCCCAGCAGGTAGAATTCTCATTTTGAAAAGGAGAGGAGGGAGCCCGTGATTCTTTGGCCCACTTCTCAAAGGTTAACTATGGTGAGCCATTTTTGCAAAAATGTGCAGGGCTACTTAGTCTGTTTATTGTGTATGAGAATTTAGCTGAGTCATGTTGGAATTGGAAAAAGAAAACCGGATAGGTTTATATAGGCTTTCTCGTTTGTTTAAAATGTGTTTGGAAGTCTTACAGTGATTGCTTGGGTTTCCGTGTTTCCCTAGTAACCCTAATAGTCCAGTGGGTGGATGTAACTCAGCTGGAGAAGAATGCCACCCTGCTGTTCCCTGAATGCATCAAAGTGAGTACCAGGGACAGTGAGCTCTACTTCTCTATGTTCCTCAACATCAGTGAGACCTTCAAGTTGATGGAACAGCTGGCTAACATTGCCATGCGGCAGCTACTGGATAATAAAGGCTTCGTGGAGGATATGTTGCTTCCCAAGCCCAGCAAGCCTCTCAAGAATATCTCAGCCCTCAAAAGGTGTGTGTGTGCATATATATATCTTCCAGGGTTTGGAGGAAAACAAGTGAAACTGAGAGGCATCTTCTGTATTTTCATGAAATATTTATATGCATTAACACTGAAGACTTGCTTAATCTCCAGTACAAGGGATCATTTTAAGGATGAAGTGTATGAGCTGTACAAGTTCACCTATAATCATAGGAGACACAATCTATCTTTCCAGGTCAAAAAAGTTTGAATGTATATTTTTTTTGACTGAGCATATTCCTTCCTGGCTGTAAAGGGGAGAAATCTGGAAACGTGTCCTCTTTAAGATGTAAATAGGGTAAGCCTGAATGTGTGAGAAGTGTCCCACTGCCCTTTCCCAGCAAATCTCAGCCTTGGGAGGGCTCTTCCAGAGTCTGTCGTCACCTCCTGTTCTTAAGGTCATCTGACTCTCCACTAATGCATTTTCAATGCAGTGGGAACTGTACAGCTCTGCCGCTTTTCTTTCTCTTCCTCACATACATTCTTTTACTTTATTCTTTATTTAAACAGATTTCTTGGAAGGAGAATCAGGGATGAAACTGTATTGACAAGAGGCAGTTCTTGTAATACTTAAAGATTGAGCTGTGCTGGAAAAACAGTGGTGGTTTTGCTTCTTGGATTGGATTGTAAGAGTCATTGTTTTCCTAATATGTCGTGTTGTATTTGCTTACTGTTTCTTCAGAGATCTTGATGCTCGAGCCAAAAATGAGTGGTACCGTGCTACTTTCCGACTGCCTAAGGACGAACGTCTCGATGGACACACAGATTGCACTTTGTGGACCCCGTTCAACAAAATTCACATCCTTGGCCAGATGTTTGTTTCCAACAACTATATTTGTTTTGCTAGCAAGGCAGAAGAGGCTTGTCATCTCATAATACCGCTTAGGGAGGTGGGAACCTGTTTCTGGTGATGAGTTGTCTCAGCATCAGGGCTAGAAATTCATTTGTTTCTTAGCTTAACATGCTGAATTTATAGAAAGTTGTTAGATGTTGGTGTTTTCCTTTTGTGGGTTGAAGAAATAATTTTCCAAGTTGATGGCAGCAAGATCCAGTTTTAACTTCTAGTGTTACATATTTGGGGGGGGGGGGAGACGGTGTCGGAAAGAAGCACCAGTATGCGCATGAGAGAGAATGGTGCTGTTTTGCAACAATTTCCAGAGCCAGAGAGAGTTAAAGTGCTATTAATCATATTTTGTTCCTATGTCACATAAGATGTAATTCCCTTGTTATATCAATAAAGGTTATTTAAAAAAAATTTAAGTATGAGAACCTAAGGAGAGACTTCTGATCTTAACTCTCTGAACCACAGTCATCAAAATAGGTGGAAAACACGGTGCTTAAAGCAAAATTCATCATTGCATAGCTTGTAGGATTATAATTTCCCATTTTTCATGTCTTACGTACACCCTCCTTCCTGTAAGAAAAAGCATCAAGGTAGATCTTTGATGGCGCTAAATTATCACATGTAGTAATGATGGAATTGCAAGCAAGTTAATAGTCAAGGTTGTAGATTATCCATAACAAGTTGAGTATCAGTTTTGGAACATTTCTAGTTATGAAGAAGCCTGGCATATCCCAACTGTGTCCCCACTTGTATTTTCTAGGTCACAATTGTTGAGAAAGCCGATAGTTCCAGCGTCTTGCCCAGCCCACTCTCAATCAGTACCAAAAGCAAAATGACCTTCCTGTTTGCCAATTTGAAAGACCGGGATTTTTTGGTCCAGAGAATTTCTGACTTTCTGCAGAGAACTTCATCCAAAAAATCATGCAGCAATGGTGGAGCGCGGAAGAAAAGCTTTGGCGACCAAACAAGTGAGGTATTAGAACTGAGTTCTGTCAGCATACCATAACAGCTGTACATGAACTGGAATACATTTTGATATACAGTCCCCTTTGTAGAATCAGGTATCTTCAGAGCTCTCCTACTCAGCAGCACTTCAAGGAAAGTTTTTCTTCCCTCCTCCCCCACCTTACTTAGCCGGGCAAGGGAGGTAGGTAAATCTATCTAAATCCAGCTGCTTCATTTCCTTCTCATGAATAGCAATGAAGAGGACAACATTTTTGTTCAATTTGCTGCAAGAGATTTGAAAAATTATAAGGGTTTCTTAATCCAGAGTTGATGTATGCTGGTTAGACAGATGAAGGTCATGCTGTTGTGGTCTGCAATATCCCTGTCCTAAAAAAATCTCCCCTGAATAGCCTTTGGTCACACTAAATGTTCTTTAAATTGCAACAGAAGCTTCTTTGGACTTCTGCAGTTCTGTCTGTGGAAGAGTATAACCTTGTGAAGGTTAATCCACTGGCTTCACAAGCAGGGCTATCCTAATTTGGAAGGGTCTTTCCTTTTCCATTGGGAGAAGTTCCCCCAATTCAACCCTTTCTGCCGTGTAGAATCAGGTATCTTCAGAGCTCTCCTACTTAGTAGCACTTCAAGGAAAGTTTTTCTCTTTCTTCCCTCCTCCCCCACCTTACTTAACCAGGCAAGGGAGGTCGCTGCCTGCCAATCTTGTATGCCCACTTTATTCTCTGTATTATACCCTTTTTAGCATGTTGTTCTCTAATTTTGTTGGTTTTATGTATTATATTGTTTATTGTAAACTTTTGTGAGCCTCAGCAAGGAAGGTGGACTGTTAATGAAGTATATAAATAGAGAGGCTTGCCACATACTCAGATACTTCATAGCTTGACTCTATCACTTATCTCTTGAGGAAGTGAAGGTTCCATGGGGCATGGCAGGAGTCACCTCAGAAAGCTGAGGAGGGGGGGTGATCTGTGAGCGCATAGCAGGTCCAGCCTTCAGTAATGTCACAGGAGCCCTCGCAGTTCCCTCAAGGCACCTTGGGCACAGCTCAGTCCCAGAACAACCCACTCCAGTCAGGTGGCAGCCAAAGCAGCACCTCCAGCACAGCCTCTCAGAAGAGCATCAACATTTGGTGTGAACAGTGGCCAATTATTTATTTATTTATTCATTCATTCGATTTTTATCCAACCCTCTCTGCCAAAGCAGGCTCAGGGCGGCTTACAAAGGATAAAACAAAAACAATTATAACATAGGTAAAACCATATTAACAGTCTGATGTCATAAAGTGCTAGCTAGTTGTAGTTAATACTTAGAGATGACAGCAACAATTATGTTACTGTGGTCTCTGGTCTGCCTTGCTCATCAGTTTCTCGTTCTTATCATATATATGCGGCAGGCATAGGCTGTAACTATGGAATCGGCACAGGCTTTATCCTTCTCAAGTATCGTTAACGATCTTTAATGAAGTGGTGGTGGTGGTGTTGTTAATGGTGGCGGCTCCTTAACCAAAGGCCTGGTGGAAGAGCTCTGTCTTCCAGGCCCTGCGGAACTGTAAAAGGTCCCGCAGGGCCCTGATCTCTTCTGGGAGCTTGTTCCACCAGTGCGGAGCCGCCACCAAGAAGCCCCTAGCCCTGGTTGTTGCCAGTCTGACATCTTTGGAGCCCGGGGGGGGTGTGTGTCAATCGATTTTGAGACCCTGAACATAGTGCTCGCTGGGGTACATATGGGGAAAGGTGGTCTCTCGGGTATGTCGGCCCCTGACCATATAGGGCTTTAAAGGTAAGAACCAGCACCTTGAAGTAACGCAGTACAGCCATGAGGATTGCTCATCCATTGACTGAAAGCAAAATGTTGGACCTCCTGTGAGGATTTCTTCATTTCAATAAAATGGAAGGTGTCCTCACTTACCCATAATTTCTGTAGAGTGGTTCTGTAGTGACTCCTGGAATAACCTTATTCATTTAAATACAGGGTTCTTTGGGTAGTCCTCTTTGTTTCCTTTTCTCCTTCTAAAACAGTTTTTTTTATCAGTACATAATACTCTATACAGATCTGGAGGAGCTCTTCACAACAAAGGAGAAAAGACTCTGTTTAGTTAGCATAGTTCTGCCTCTGAAGCCAGCAGCAGGGTTAATTGTCAAGGTAATCTTCGTCCCACCATCAAGAAGAAACTCTCACAGTGGGTACAATATTTTGTTTTCAGTTTATATTTTTGTTTTTAGGAAACCCCAGAGCAGTCTCCCAGCAGCCCTCTTGAAGTCAGTCCTGCCTCTCCTTTCAGTAATCAGCTGGCTAATTTTTGTGCAGACAAAGTGCCAACTGCATCCCAGGGATTACTTAAACTGTTTGGAACCAACACCAAGAATATCTCTGAATCACGTCAGGTGAGTTATCGGCTCTTTTTTATCAATCAGAAAAAAATTGAAGTGTTTATTAAACAATAACAGAAACAATAAGTTACCATATAAAACTACATCTTATAGAAACCCTCATAATTATTTGAGAAAATACCATCAAATATAACTAAATAGCACTGTTTTCTTGCCACTAATTCTTGGGTATCTTAAAATGCTAGTCTCTGCGTGGGAACAGGCATTGTTAATCTGGCCTCCAACTCTGTGCTTTGTTGGCTAAATTCAAATTGCACACCATTCTTTACTAATTTGGCCCATGCAGAGAGAAACTTTTTAATACTGCATTTAATCTTGCACGTTTTTATTGCAGATTAATATAGGAGATCAATGTTAATATATTATTTACAAGGCAAAGCTTGGGAGTAGGGGAAAACCAAGAGACTGGGTCAAACTGATGTCTAGTAATTTGACTCTAATAATGCGTCCCTGTCTAAGGCAAAGGAAAGGATGAAGGAGGAATCATGGAATATTCATTTCTTTGAATATGGGAGAGGAATGTGTATGTATCGCACAGCCAAGACCCGTGAACTAGTACTGAGAGGGATCCCAGAAAATCTTCGCGGAGAGCTGTGGCTCCTATTTTCAGGTGAGCAATCGTATAGCGTGCTTTTAAATGATAGGTAATTGTATGGTTTTTACAGACTTTATTTTCTTTTATTTACAGAATGTATATTCTGCCTATTATAGTCCCTTGTTGGTTACTAACAAAATTGAAAAAGATGACATCATTAAAAACAAACCACCAGTACCTAAAAGCAATCAAGCAGGCAACTGAAACAATAGGCATCTTCCCCATTTCTCAGTCCAGTTCAGAGGACTTTGACTTAAACCTGGAAGGCTTGCTGGAATAGTGTCAGTCGTACCTCCTGAACGATGGAGTCCCAGAATTTGGAAACAGGAGCGAAAAAAGCCCTTGTGAAGGTCCCAGTCAGTTACACTTTTATTAATATTGGTTCTCAGAAGAGATGTATTGATCTCAAGAGTTGGGCAGATTGATAAAGGTGGCGGCAGTCCTTCAGGTATCCCTGGACCTTTGTAAAGTTTTAAAGGTCAATGCTAGCATTTGTATTACAAACACACTGGAAGTCAATGCAACTGGTTTTAAGGGCTCATTCTGGTATGTCTTAGAGGTTTTTCAGATGCTTGACTTACTCCTGATTTTCTCGGCAGTTGATCCACAAGCATTGGAATCTGTTTGAGTGCAGTTCTTCCACCCATCTGCCCTCCCTCTGCATTTGCACAGTTGTGGAGCCAGTTTATTTTATTCCAAATGTGTCTTAAATAATCAGGATTTTCCAGGGAAAGTGCTGTCGTCATTGGGGGTGTCACCAGTGACATCACAGCAAACTCACCTCATTTTATTTTTCGTGCATGCTTATATTGCTGTATCAATATGATGGCAGCATTTTTTTTTAAATGGCACTAAAATACCAATTTCCCTGCTTCGATCCATGCCTTCCCAGGGTCCCAAAACAGTATCCAAAATGTGCTCCTGGCCCCCCTCTCCAGCATCCAGGGGTCCACTTCTGGCACTCCACTACCACCACGAGCAAGCCCCTCTCTTTCACCCTCTCCTCCTGCAAACATGCCTTCCTGGTGTGCTGGGACTCTGGTTCTTTCACTGTTCACACCTCCTGACCTTCCTTTCCAACTTCCAGGTGTCAGCCCATTGGCACAACCCCCACAAACCCTGGAAAATCACCTGTACCCCTTTTCCCCCTTCATCCCTGTGTTTATCCCTGCCTTCCTGGGGTGCTGGGGTCCCAACTCAGTATCCAAAAGTGCCCCTGGCCCCCTCTCCAATATCCAAGATTCCGCTTCCCAGTGCCCCCTTTTCTGCCCCCTTTCACCTCCTCTTCCCTGCAAACATGCCTTCCCGGTTTCCAGTTCTTTCGCTGCTCACACCTCCTGGCCTTCCTCTCCAACCTCCAGGAGTTGGCCCACCAGAACAACCACCGCAAACTTCCATTTAAAGTTTACATTTCTTCTCCATTATACTCTATGGGGATGGTCCCCATAGGATCTAATGAAGCAGAATAAATTCAGTAATCCCAATTATTTCCCGAATCCCAATATCATACCAGTATTGGGATTCAGGAATATCAGGAAATACTGATATTTTTCAGGTTCAGTACACCTGAAGCTGAAAAGTACCAGGTGTTTTTTTTGGGGGGGGGTTGCACACCCTTAGTGGGTGGGATATAGTGCCACGGTGGCTCAAAGGTTAAGACGTTGAGATGCGGCCCGGAAGGTCTGTAGTTCGGCAGTTCAAGACCCTAGTGTTGCATGATGGAGTGAGCTCCCATCTCTGGCCCCAGCTCCTGCCAACCTAGCAGTTTGAAAGCAAGAAATTGCAAGTAGATAAATAAGTACCACTTCGGTGGGAAGGTAACAGCGTTCCGTGCACCTCAGCGTTTAGTCATGCCAGCCACATGACCACGGAAACTTCTTCGGACTGCACTGGCTCTTCCGGCTTGGAAACGGAGATGAGCACCACCCCCTAGAGTCAGATTCGACTGGCTTTCAAGCAAGGGAAACTTTTACCTTTAACCTAGTGGGTGGGAATGGGTGTGACAAAGAAAACCAACAGAAACATTGTGCCTGAGGAAAAAAGTGACTGAAAATCGGCTTCCTGAAAAAAAGATTGGGTAAAAACAGTCCCAAAATAAACTGGGGGGAACTCCCCCCGGGGGGGGGGGATGACGACTGTAGTGGAAACTAAATGAACAAAAATACATGTAGAAATCAGGGGAATAGACCAAAGTAGTATGGGGCTAAAACCAACACCCCCCAAAAATGTGGAAAAGGTCCTTAGTTAACACTCCATCCACTGTGTTTTGTACCAATTGAATTTACCATATGGTCTTCAAGGGCAGCCCAGCATACAGCATGTCTTATTCGGATGTTATCAAAGCCCATCTGATCATGGCTAAGTCTGCCTTCTCCAGCAACAGCAGCAGTTGTTGAACCAAACTAAAACCAGCTGATAAAGATATAAGTAGTATCTCCAGACTATGTACCAAATCATTCAGAGGGAGGATAGCCTCATCTATAACATGCTGGACACCTATCCCTGAATCACCTTTGTCCAGGTGCTGATAAGTACTTCTACCACCTGTCTGGAACCATCCTCATGTTGGTGACACTTTGTTCCACATTTCTGCATGATTTCTCCCAGTGGCAAAAGGGCAAGATGGAACTTTGTCATCCACCCCACCCACCCCAACCATGGGGCAGAATTCACCCAGCAACATCTTCTGGAGCCTGTTCTCCAAAGGTGACCAAAGCAAGCGCAACACTACACCTCCCAAGCCCAGCCGTAGTACTCGAAAGAATACACACACACACACAAAACCTTTATTGGCATGAAAGCACAAAGCATCATGGAAATACAGGGAAATACTAAGATGCATCAGTCACTTACACTTGGCTATTCAAGCCTCGTCTTCTGATTCCATAATATAAACATTTTGCAACAGCCTCCATTATTTCACAATTAGAATTAAACAGAAGAAAGTGAACAATTGAGATCAGAGTGTCAGCTTTTACCCTCTAGAAATGGAGTAATAAAACGAGATCGGATATCCCTGTAGAGAGGGCAATGAAGTATGGTGTGTGTAGTGGATTCTATATCTTTTAGAGAGCAAGG